TGACCTCCTAGCAGTCCAGAGGACTCTTAAGAGTCTTCTCCAGCACCACAGTTCAAAGGCACCAATTCTTCAGCGCTCAGCCTTCATTATGGTCCAGCTCTAACAGCCATACATTAGTACTGGAAAGACCATAGCTTTGATTATGCGGATCTTTGTCAGCAAGGTGATGTCTCTGCTTTTTAATATGCTGTCTAAGTTTTCCATAGCTTTCCTCCCAAGGAGCAAGCATCTTTTAATTTCATGGCTGCAGTCTTGCAAAAAAGAGCAACTGCAAATTCTGAGTGACACACAGAATAGGAAAAAAGTAGATGAGAGAACGAGAACTTGGAAGGGAAAAAGGGGTTAATAGGGAGGTTCAGTGGAAGAATTTTCACCAAACTGACTCCCTCATGGAACTGCCACCTTTGACAAATGGGTATACTCACATTTCAAGAGTTTTTCACGGAGGAGATAATTGTTCATTGTATCTGCGGCTATCTTTGCAATTTCATCAAATTCAAATTCCACAAAAGCATAACCTTTGCTACCTCCTGTCTATTAAAGAGAAGGATGTAAAAATGGGAAAAAATTACAATGCTTTTATAAATGTAAGTGAAGTTTTTTTGTTTTTGTTTTGCTATTACCATTATTAGATATATTTCTGCTTCTTCAGCAGCTCAAGGCAGAATATAAAGCACTTCCCATTTGTCTTACAACATCCCTGTGCAGTACACTGGGCAGAGACAACTGACCCAAAATCACACAATGACAATCTTAAGCCAAAAAAGGACTTCTAAGCTGCAAAATGCAAAATGCTTTTACTTTCCATCAATATGCGTTGACTTTGTGAAAGACAGGGAAGCCTCATGAAAGTTAAATAATTAAAATTAGTATGTTTTTTGTATATGCAGTTTTGTTTTCAGCTATTTTTTGAAATAATGCAACAGAAAATGTTCATTGTGAACAGCTACAGAGCCTGACTGATCAGGAGGATGTCTGCCAAATCATTTCAAGGACGAACCCAATCCATGTTTTCAATACTGTACAGAAAAATGCCATGCAATAAGCAGCATCATGTTAGTCACAAAAAACAAAGGGACCCGTGGCAGCTTCCAGCCCAAAAATGTATTGTCACGTAAGGAGGAATGCAGCTGGAAAAGAAGATTAGGGGGCTAGACCAGAATCAGCCTCAAAACTGCAAAATGGCTATATGGTTCAAAATGGTATACAGGGTTCTGAATGCACTCTCCCATGTTTTTTGTTTTCGATCTATAGTTTTTAATTGTTCTGATTGTTTTAATGGTTTTATTTTAATTGTTCTGATGGATTTTGGTTTCTACTTAATTGTGTGCACCACCCAGAGTCACCTACATGAAACGGGCAGCTATATAAATTTAATAAATCAATCCCCCCTTTAGCCATGGAAACTCTTTGGGTAACCCTGGACCAGTCACTCTCTCTCAACCCCTACCTATCCCACAGGGTTGTTGTGGAGGAAAAAAATTGGTAAAGGTCTCCCAGGTCAGTTGTCTTGAGCTTCCCACGGAAAGGTGGGATAGCTACCCACCACAGAGAGAGAGAGCATGCACCAGTTTGGTGGAATGGTGAAGGTGCTGGCCTAGAAACCAGGAGACATGGTCTCTGAGTTCTAGGCCTCCCTTAGGCATGAGAGCTGGCTGGGTGACTTTGGGCCAGTCACTCTCTCAGCCCAACCCACCTCACAGGTTGTGGGGAAAATAAGAGGAGGCATTAGGTATGTTTGCCACATGTATTATTTATATTGTTTTAAAAATAATGACAAAGAGAAAAAAACAAAACACGAAGATAATTATGATAGAAATATACAGATTATCAAAAAAAACATAAAAAGTGCTTTAAAAAGTGAAAAAATACAAAGAAAAAATAAAGAAAAATATGTTATATAATTTTAACACTAACAAGTTACAATTCTGTATATACTTACCTAATGCCAAAATTATTCAAGTACGCATATATTTATAATACACATATAACTATCATGTTTTTTTAACCTATTGTATTTGTATGAATGAGTCCCATATTTCTTTATACTTGTCCATACAAAGTCTACATCTACAGGCAATCTGCTCATAGATGGCAAGTACAATCAGGTCTTCAATCCATTGAGTAAAAGGGGCCATACATTTATCTTTCCAATCTTGCAATATCAGTCTTTTGGCCATAGTAAGAGCAGAGAGAATCCATTTACATTGTCCAGATGTCAAATTCCATGTACTAGGTACGTAGTTCAAGAGAATATTATCCTCTGAAAATGTTAGCTTTCGTTGCACAATCATATTTATATAATCCACTACCTTCTCCCAAAATTTAGTAAGTATGGGACATTGTAAAATCACGTTTTAAAGAAGCATTATCCTTATTACATCTCCAACAAAATGCTGTCCTTTTTTATACAAATGTAATTGAGTCCAAGAAATTCTAAATATTATTTTTTGTTGTATATGAGGTAATTTGAGGCCTACTGACACTCTTGCTAAAGAAGTTAAGACACCCTTCCATTCTCCAGACAATATAGGAACCACTAATTCTTTATTCCACCCCTTTCTTAGCATTGAAATATCAAATTGATAATTTGATACCAAATATCTATAAAGCCTAATAGTAGATTTTTTTAGTTTGAAAGGATTTAACAAGTTGTTCTAGTATCTCAGGTGTCTCAGAAGCTGAAAATGCTGCTGATCCAAACAAGGTTGTTAACAAATATTGTAAATGTAAATATAGCCATTGAGTTACATCTGACAGTTGATATTTATCGCTCAACACAGTGCATATTAAAAATTCACCTTCGTCATCTATCAGCTGGTCCAAGGTCAATATCCCCACTTCCATCCAATTTTTCCATATCACCATCTTTTCCCCTATTTTTAAAGTTGGGTTTCCCCATAACATCAATTTAGCATGGGAAACAGGAATCGTTTTTTATTAGACATTCCATTCCATAAGTTTCTAACTGATGTGATTGTTTCCAGAGATACCAGAATTTTAGTGTATTTAAATCCTAATGCTGTTCCTCCAACCAAAGGTGTCATTCCAAAGTTACCCAAATCGGAAAATTAACACCAATTGTTGGCTTCCAGTATTTAATACTTGACAACAGGTAAGCATGACGATATAGCTCCAGATTCAGAAAACCGAATCCTCCCTCATTCATTGGTCACGTTCACCGCCTTGAGTTATATACGAATAATAATAATCGAAATGGACCTTACCTTTTTACTCCTCGAAAGACGAACCCGAGTCACTGTCCCAAACTGGCTGAAGTACTGCGTGAGCTGCGGCTCGTAGAGGCCTCTCGGGATGTGACCCACGTAAACGACACCAGGCCTCACCTTCGGATTCTGGGCGGTAAAATGAGGGAAAGAGCAAACGGGCGTTGGAAGTTCCGCTCCCACCGCGTGCCGAGAGAAACCACCCCGCTCCCTCGGCTTCTTACCTTGGCGGCCGCCTTGCGCACCCGCTGCACCTCAGCCTGGAACTCGCGCTGCCGCTCCGGGTCCAGAGACAGGAGGGGAGTCGCTACGGACGCAACGCTGCTCGCCGCCATCGCACTTCGGAGAGAAAGAGGGCAGTGCGGCGCGCCACAAACCGGAAGCTCCGTTTCGTCACTTCCCTCTTGGCTGTGGGGGGGGCACCATAGACTCTCCAAGGAGACATGGAAAGAGAGCAGTGGCGCCTGTTGGTCAGAGGGTGAAATAGCAGCCTCTTACTCTGTATCGCATTTTCATTCCTCCGAAACAGGACTGGAAAGGGAGAAGGAACAGTGATCAAAATTTAGGGGAGTGCTCAAAAGGAAGACTATGTTCCCAAGCCTTTCAAGGCTGCTATTTTAGGTATCATGTTTTATATTTATTTAGTGTTGCTTTTGGGGACGTTTGAAAGCTACCCAGTGCCATTAAAAGAGTGGGCAAGCTATCTATTTTCTTACAAAAATAGCAATAAACTAGAAAGTACTAAGATTTAAAACAAGCAATGCAAACTAAACCTTTCCTTCAGTAAATTTATTGTTACCTTTGGAAACATATAGGATGCCACCCAGGGCTACAGGCTGAGATTTTACTTTCTACCTACCACATTTGAGCTGCTCTCTCTGTTACCCCAGGCGGTTGTCCAGAGTTTCACAACCCACACCGAAATGCTCCATTTCCCAAACATTCCCTTCCTGCTCTTGTGGGTGAAGCAATAAAAGAAGGAAAAAAAACCCAGAAAAAAGAAGAAAATGAACTTAATTGCAGGTAATCACTTCCACTAGCAACCTGTACAAGGTCAGCAACCTGTTCCCTTACCTGCCTTTCCCTTTGATTGGACTAGACATTGTAGGACAGCTGTGCTAGTGCAAAAAATCAGGAGTCTAGTAGCACCATTTCTGACTAACACATTTTATTAAAAACATTACGTTTTTGTGAGCTGCAACTCACTTCCTCAGTTGCATAGAATGGCTAGATTGATGCAAGAATCAAATTGGGGGGAACAAGGAGAATACAGGTTGGTTATGCACATAGGCGGGTTACATGTGAGACAGATGACCAGCATCTTATCCATGAACAATTGTAATGGGTCAAAAACCCATTGTGTTTGTTGGGACCCTCCAATGTCTGTCAGTTCAGCAACCTCTTGCTCGATGGTAAAGTCCTGTTTTCCCAAAACTGTCACTTTGAGGCCTGCTATAGTTTGTCCTGGGGAGGCTGAAATGCTCTGATCCTACTTTGAGTCCTGATGCCAGTCTTGTGCCCATGAATTCTTTTGCACAAACTTTGTCCTGTGCAGAATCCAGGGGCATGTTGCTGTCAGACAAGGGCATAGCCCAGTGTTTCTCAACCTTCGCAACTTTAAGTGATGTGGACTTCAACTCCCAGAATTACCCATTTCCAGAAGAATACTGGGAGTTGAAGTCCACCCATTTTAAACACTGGCACAGACCCCATTGGAGGAAGAGCATCTGAAAGTTCTTCTAAACTAGTGGGAGCCTTTGATTGGATTGTAATCCCTATCACGACAGATACGTAAGTGGGGGCGATGGGAGTTGTAGTCCAGCACTCTGGAGAAGACCAGATTGGGGGCAGGGTCTCGCCATTGAACCCAGAAGGCTTTACTCCCAGGTAAAGGCGCGCCTACAACCACTCCCACGCAACACTCGGCCCGCGCTCCTTTAGCTCCGCCCCCAGACGCTGCAGCCGTCCTTCTCTCCTCCCAGCCGGGGGCGTTGCACGCGGGACGCGTCTCAGCCTATCGGAGTGCCCGACCGAGCCGAAGCGAAACGACCCGAGAAAGCGACTCCGCGATTGGCGCACAAATTCCATTTCTCCTCCGATAGGCTGCCTCCTCCGCGACTTCGCTTCCTATTGGCTCGCCGAGGGGAGCGGGGGCGGGACGTCCAGGAGCAGCGAGACAGACGGGGGAGCGAGGCTGAGGGGTTTGGACGCTGGGAGGTTGGAGGCGCCACCGGCGAAGCGGGGGCTCGAGCGGCCATGAGCGGCGGCGTCTACGGAGGAGGTGAGCGGCCCCGGGCGGGAGGGGGCTGCTCTCCCTTTAACGCGCGCCCTTGAGGGCGGAGCTTCTGAGTGCCCCCCCCCCCGCGAGTCCCTGTGCCTTTAAGAGGCACCGGAGGGAGAATCAGGCTGTCTGCAGCTTTTCCTTCGCACATCTGGAAACGGACCTCGCGCCCTGCTGCGCTTCTCGGCTCGCTGCAGCTGCAAGAGCGGCTGTCCTT